GTCTACAAAAAATACAAGAGGGGAAAAAAAGCAACTAAACAGAAAAACAAGCAAAAGAAATGATCGGACAATTTATAGAAGAAGAAATCTAAATGACCAATAACTATATGAAAAATGTAAATTAAAATGATGGGCTAATATTTCTTACTAATCAGATTCACAAAAATGTAACAGTCTGATAACATAAAGTGTTGTCAAGGGTGTTAAAAAACAGGACCTGTCATAAACTGGTAGTAGAAATACAAACTGGAACAAGTATTTTGAAGAACAGTTTGACAATATCTGCTAACGGTGAAAATTTGTACATTTTATGACCTAACAATTCCACCTCTCTAGATGTATACTCTAGAGAAGCTTCCGTACATGTGAAAATGAAGGCATGTATAAAGATGCTAATAGAAGTATACAAAACAAAACAAAACAAAAAAAACAGAAACAATTTTAAGTCCATCAATAAGTAAATAAATATGATTTGGCATTATCACATGCTGTAAAACTATGTGGTTATTTAAAGGGATGATAAAGATTTATGTCTCTGCCTAAATAGAACTTTAACAATTTTCTGTATACAGTAAGAAATAATTTATATAAATATTTAAAAGCACCAACTAACCCTGGCTGGTGTGGCTCAGTTGGTTGGGCGCCCTCCTGTGCATCAAAAGGTTCCCCACCAGAGCATATGCCCCCGTTTCCGGCCCCATCCCCAGTAGGGGGATGCAGGAGGCAGCCAATCGATGTTTCATTCTCACATCAACGTTTCTCTTTCTCTCCCTCTCTCTCTAAAAATCAATTTAAAAAAATCTTTAAAAGCACCAACTAGCAAAAACATTAAAAACTGAATTAGAAATATACACTAATGTCATGATAATTATTATCTCCAGGTGAAAATGGAACAGTATAGGAGATAAAAGTGACCTGAATTTTATCTGTAATTTTTACTGCCTTTATTTTAAAAAGAAAGTAAAACAAATGGGACAAAACGTTAATAACTGTCAGTTCTGGATGTGTTGATACATGTGCATTTGTTCTTATTCTTTGTGTATATATATTAGCCATTTCTCAAATAAAATGACAAAAATTACAGAGGTATATTAGAGTCAAGGGTATCAGTTACAGGCTGCTGCAATGTTCTAAGACTATGGGATAGAAAATAGGATATACTCCAGTGTGGGGGAGAGAGGAGACAGATACACAAACTCAAGGACCTGGCCCTTAGTTGCTGTTTAAATTTAATGGTAAGAAAGGCTGTTTCCCCATTCAGAATACTGTGCTTGGCATATAATGAGTTCTTAATAATATTTTCTGGATTCTGTGAATGACATTAGTACTTTTCCTGGTTATAAGAGTCATCCATGTAATATAAGCTTGGAGGAAGGGGGGTAATAATGGGAGAAGATAAAAGCTCTACCTATTATCTCAGAAAAGAATTTCCTGGAATTAATTTCTTGAAAGGTGGCCCCACCTTCTAAAAGGTAGTCAATTCAGAAGTCCCTTCTAAATGCTACAGAACCTTTAGAGGAAACTACTCATCTTCTGCAAGGAAAGTCTTTGGAAGATCATCTCAGCACTGGTCTCCCCAGTCAATATTGATCAGAGTGACTTAGTCAAAAAAATGCCTCTTCAAGCTGGTTCTTTGAAAAGATAAACAAAGTTGATAAAACTGTAACTAGACTCATCAGGGGGAAAAAAGAGAGGAGCCAAATAAATAAAATCAGAAATGAAAGAGAAGTGACAACTGATACCACAGAAATGCAAGAGATTAAAAGAAAATACTATGGCCGGAGCTGGGTTTGCTCAGTGGTTAGAGCGTTGGCCCTTAGACTGAAGGATTTGGGGTTTGATTCCAATCAAGGGCATGTACCTCAGTTGCAGGCTCAGTCCCTGACCCCAGTTGGGGCACGTGTGGGAGGTAACCAATTGATGTGTCTCTCTCACATTGATCCCCCCCCCACTCCCCCCACTCTCTCTGAAAAGCAATGGGAAAAATATCCTGATTTAAAAAAACAAAAGAGAGAGAGAGAGAGAGAGAGAGAGAGAGAGAGAGAGAGAGAGAGAGAGAAAAGAAAGAAAGAAAGAAAGAAAGAAAGAAAGAAAGAAAGAAAGAAAGAAAGAA